TCGGCATAGCCGAAGACAGCGCTGCTCTTACTTGTTTTTTTTTGCTTTTGCTGCACGGTGTTATATGTATAGATATGTTCAGCTCAGTAAAAAACCCACTCTGTAACTGTCAAACTATACAAATCTGTACAAATGTAAAAATCTTGTGATCCCTGCTTTAATATCCCATCTACTGATCAATAATTATACAATTATTTGGTAAAGTCCTTACAAAGCTCACGCTTCACTCTTCCTTTTACAGGACTACACCATTACCATGTATCTGAATCAGTATTGGCGCGATGAACGGCTCGCCTTCAATGCATACGGACCATACTATGATGACGATGCGGACGATGATGGCGTTAATGATGTGTTGACGCTCTCGGGAGATTTCGCAGAAAAAATTTGGGTGCCAGACACATTTTTTGCGAACGATAAAAATAGGTGCGTACCTTTAAATGCTTTAACTTATCGGACAATAAAATTTAACAACTTCTCCCATTTCTTGCATTCTTTGACAGTTTCTTACACGACGTCACCGAACGCAATAAATTAGTGCGTTTAGGTGGCGATGGCGCTGTCACCTATGGCATGCGCTTTACAACAACACTCGCCTGCATGATGGATTTGCATTATTATCCGTTGGATTCGCAAAATTGTACAGTGGAAATTGAGAGTTGTAAGTAAATAGATGTTACAAAGTAGTGGTGATATTCGTAGATTTTTAGATAGAAAATTTTGTTTGTTGCTTTTGTTGTTTTTTTGTTTGTCCCGCCTTTGTTTTTCTCTTTTGTAACTGTTACAGATGGCTACACCGTCAGCGATGTGGTCATGTATTGGAAACCCACACCCGTACGTGGTGTCATGGACGCCGAACTGCCACAGTTCACAATAATCGGCTATGGAACGAACGATCGTAAAGAGCGTTTGGCAACGGGCATTTACCAGCGCCTATCCCTTTCGTTTAAATTGCAACGGAATATTGGTTATTTTGTATTTCAAACATATCTGCCAAGCATATTGATTGTGATGCTTTCGTGGGTGTCCTTCTGGATCAACCATGAGGCAACAAGTGCGCGCGTCGCATTAGGTGAGTATCTATCTATTTGTGAAAAAGCAAATAATATTCGGTTCAAGTGCTCATACCCGCTTCAACCTGATTAAATGTATAGGCATAACCACCGTGCTCACTATGACCACAATTAGCACCGGAGTGCGTAGTTCCTTGCCAAGGATATCTTATGTCAAAGCCATTGACATTTACTTAGTGATGTGTTTCGTGTTCGTCTTTGCTGCCTTACTCGAATATGCAGCTGTCAATTACACATACTGGGGCAAACGTGCCAAGAAGAAAGTGAAAAAGTCCAAAGATGGTGATGGCAGAAAAACAGGTAAATAGCCGAGTGAATAAATGCCACACATTTATAAAAAAAAAACTACAACATTTTCTTATTTTTTTTTCGATAGGAAAAGGCGACAAATCCGAAACGTGTTCAACAGCCGATGATATCATCGAATTGCAGGATGTACGCATGAGTCCTATACCCTCATTGCGTAAGGCTAACTACAATAGCACGCTCGGCTCCATAGGCACCGAGACTGTGGACCTGGCAAAGTTTCCACCGAGCTTTAGAATTACGCGCAACTATGGCACGAATCGTACACATTTGCGCTATAGAGGCCAAAAAGGTGAGGATATACATACAAACATCCNATGGCCAAGCAAGCGGAGCCTCTGTATTTTTATTCGCTGCACTAGGTCCATGTCGCTGTAAAGCTCATACAGTTCATCGTACCATCGTCTGCGGTACTCGCCATCGTCAACGCGTAAAGGCCCGTAAATCTTACGCAAAACCTTTCTCTCGATTACATCAAGAGCTGCCTCATCGGATATTGTCATTGTCCATGCTTCTGCGCCATATACCAGCACGGGCCTGATGAGTGACTTATAGAGCGTGGTTTTCGTACGTCGAGAGAGGACTTTACTCCTGAATTGCCTACTCAGTCCAAAGTAGCAAAGTAGCAGCGTGGCCCTGTAGGTGGCATCTTTTTGCTCTGCAGCTTCCTGACACTCCCTGTCATACCAGTTGTTCTTTTATATGATTAGAAAGTGCTAGGCGCTATTAAGGCAGATATGTAGATCATACATATGTATGTAGTTCATTTTTTACATGACATATACGATAACAACCAGTTGATGGTCTTAACAAAACTCGTTTAAAACAAAAAACCAAACTAATTCATGTAAATTTACATAATTTCAGGCAAGCCACGAATGCTGCATGCGCTCAAGCGAGGCGCATCTGCCCTCAAAGCCACAATACCAAAAATCAAAGACGTTAACATAATCGACAAATATTCACGCATGGTGTTCCCAGTTAGCTTTTTGGCTTTCAATCTCGGCTATTGGTTATTCTACATTCTGGAATGATAGCAGCTGATGACACTTCACGCGAAATAGGAAGAGCCCTAGTTAGTGTGTAGTGTGCGAGTAAACCAAAAATCCTGAATTTCCAAATTCTCCGCAAATCCAGGCACAAAATCAAAAATAAAAAAAAAGGAAATCAAAATCCAACCAAGTAAATGAAAGCTTATCCGAACAAAATTTAAGCTATGTGTAACGCATAATCAAAAGATGACTCCAAAATCAAACCAAATGTGTCCCAAAAATTTAGCGCACGAACTAATTGATATGAAGAGCGTAAAAGCTAAATAATAAATTAGCAAAAAGGCGAAAAAAAAATTCAACCCAAAATGTGACAAATTTCCCAGAAAAAGAGCAAAAAATACAAAAAACCAAAATTAATATCAAAAGCACGAATTCATTATCAGCTCAGTCAATGTGGTTGCAGTGACTTACAAAAGTTCAAAGTGAGCCAAAATTGAAAAACTAAAAAATCGTAAATGTATTGAAATTTAGTGGAAGAAGAGCCCTAGCCTATGCCATACAAACATATATGTCTTTGGTGCGATTTCTTACCAATGTTTAATTTAAGTTATCTAGCAACCCAATTAATATGTGAGGAAACTAAACTTAAAAGTAAGTGCATGTGCTATGACTTCTATAAATGTAGCATTTGAAATACATAATTGGAAAAGTATAATAAGAAATTTCATTGAAAATGTTAAGGAAAATTTGGAAAAATTAAACCTTAATTTTAATTAGTTTTATATTTCACACATACATGAAAGCAAACTTGTACAGGACGCGCAATTGTGTACGATTCGATGAATCGTCCTAAAGGCATACCAACAATTCTTATACATACATATGTACATGCATACCTAATAGACATTTGAAATACAAAATTGTCATTAATTTAAAATTACCAATAAAAGATGGTCGCATAAGGTTGAGACGAGGTTAGGTATATTATTTTGTAAAATTAAAAGACAAAGCAAACATAATTTTTAAACTTCTAAGCCAAACTGTTGAACACCTAAGAATAAGAATTTGAACTTTGAAGTGAATAAACGTGCATATGATATTTTACTAAAAGGAATTTTATTGAAGGAAATGCCGTAAGGGTAGGTAAGAAATGGTTCAATAATATAGCAATATTTTTCTGGAATTTATGTAAACCCTAACTAAAGGTAGAAAGTTGTCGTGAATCCCGCTCGAAACATAGGTAAAACTTCCTCCGGTATACCTCACCATAATATATGTATTAGTATTTTTCTCTATATTAAGGCACAATTCTCTTTATCTTAATTTTGGTCTTTATTTCAATCTCAAACTTTATCTTAATCTTAAGCTTAATATTTAACTTAATCATAATGTTACCATTTAACTTTACTCGTTACTTTTCGTTTTTTTTTTTTCAAGGCTTTTCGGAATTTCCTAGTTCAACGGTAGATTCATATCATAAATGGGCTTCTCCCGAGTGCTTATACGAAAGTGCGAAGTCTTAAAGAGGTGATAACAATGTTCAAAATTTTTTCAATTAAAATTTAAATTTTTTTTTTTAATTTTTGTTTGTTAGTTTTTCGGGTACTCTAGCTCCTAACTGCCGGTTTCACCAGAACAAGATTTTTTCTCTTCTATCAGTTTTCAATTGAAAAAATCTTTTATTTAAATTGTTTTCATGAAGCCTTCCATAAGTCTCCTTAAAACCCACTTTGTTGATCCATGCATGCGGCCGCTACCAGTCGAGTTGTCCAAATCGTGCAAAAGCTTTGAGAGTTTAAGTAATGGTCAAAAACATTTTTCTTTTCATGTGTACATTAAGGTGCATCACTCCTCATACAAAACAATCGGTACTGTTTATAAAATCTGTTATACTTTGAGACTTCCGCCAAATTTTTTAAGATAAAAATTTAGATTCACGTAAGCTGGACTGGTTTGAAAATACCTTCAAAAATTTAGTTTGCATATATAAACCACCTCAGACACAGAAGAATTTAAGCATAGAAGGCCTGCATAAAAATGTTTAAAAAGTTTATCAACGGAGGCAAAGTAATAAAATTTTTGGTGGTACTTTCAAATCGGTCCAGCTCCCGTACATCTTCATAATTTTTCGAAATATTTTGACGCAATTTTTTTATTTCTTTTTTTTGGTGAGGCAACCTAAAGTTCATATGCACGCACATACAATAAAATAAATATGTACATATATACACATATTCACATATCCATAGATACAACTTCTAAAATCTCCACTTATCTGCCATAACTCAACTCCTGACCAGCAGCAATCTACAAAAGGTTGCTCAAAACACCGTAAATCCTACCAACGAACGGGTATGTAGCCCTCACACAAAAATCAAAAGTTTGTACTTATGTGTTTGTAAGTTAAGGTTGAATCTAAACAAAAGTAAATACACGTACATATGTATATAAGGATATGTATGTGAGAGGATAACAGCGCAGAATGAAGTGAATGAAAACTCCAATTTTGTTGTAACGAATATCCACAAAATAGAAGAAGAAAAATGCGTAGGAGAAATTCGATTAAGTTAATATATTCGCATGCATACCTAATTTCAGTCATACCTTCATACATATACATATGTACGTATAGATATGGATAAGTATATGAAAGAGCAAAAAGATAAGCTGAGAGTAACGAGAGAGAAAGTTATGCTTGAATTCACAAGTTTTCGCCAAAATGGCAGAGACTTCGAAGCAATTCACGGCTCTCAATTCTCTATTTATTATCCATGCTTAAATCGTATAAGGTGTGTATATAACGGGTGATTTTTTTGAGGTTAGGATTTTCATGCATTA